AGTGGTACCTCGGGTTACAGACGCTTCAGGTTACAGATGCTTCAGATTACAGACTCTGCTAACCCAGAAATAGTACCTCTGGTTAAGAACTTTGCTTCAGGATGAGAACAGAAATTGTGTGGTGGTGGCATGGCAGCAGCAGGAGGCCTCATTAGCTTAAATGGTACCTCAGGTTAAGAACAGTTTCAGGTTAAAAACGGACCTCCAGAATGAATTAAGTTCTTAACCTGAGGTACCACTGTATATTTATTTTAAATGCACCATTTGTGACATTACACATGTGAAGAAGAGGAAGAATTATAAGTGAATATGTTTAAAAATGGCTGTGGACAGTATACTCTGCAAAAACACATATATCTTGCAATCCTATTACCTGGGAATAAGTCCCATTGAACTCTGTGGGGCTTACTTCTGGGTAGCTATGTATAGTATTGCAAGGTAATTATTCTGAATTGGAGAAGATCTTTTCTGGGGGAAATGATGCTCAGTTCCTGTTTCTGTAGAGTGCTGAGCTGCCTGCGTTCACCTTACAAGCCAGGTAATGACAAACTTTGGCACCATAGTTAGTTTCTTTAATCACTGGTTTATAATGAGGCTCTTTTTCCACTCCATGTGCAATGCCTAATTCCACTCCAGTTGTCAGTGCTAGGTGCTGTTACTTTCACTGACTGCAGCAAATGGATGGATAGATAAATAAATAGATAGAGAAACAGATAAACAAACAAGCACAGCTAGAAAATCTCCAAGAAAACCTTTCTGGAACAAGTACTTTCAGAAAGTTTTTTTTTAAAAAAAAGTCTTATCAAGCTCTTCAAAAATTTGGAATGCTTATCTCTGGGTGCACCTTGCGGTCTCACCAGCAGCCCAGTAACCAAAACAAACAAAATGTTTTTTAAAAGAAGAAGAATCTTTTCCAGTATTTGGTGTTGACGGTCAAGATGATGAGAAGGAAACCTCGATCATTTTTAGGTTACAGTTAGAGAAAGTTAAATCATTGTTCCTATCTATAAAGCTTCTCTACCCAATTGCTGATGAGATCATCTTATGATTCCTTTTATCAACAATAGAAAGTTTCAAAGAATAGCTTTTACATTGGGGCAGTGAATAGAGTACAACAGGGTTTAACATCCTTTCAATTTTCATAGATGAATCCCACGATGTAAGATTTAAAATGAGGGCCAAACATCCCTTCTGAGAGAGATAAACTGAATTTTCTCCCTAGTGTGTGTGATTAGTTACCAGATAAAAATTGAGCAAAAGGTCATAAGAATTATCATTGATAATGCAGAGCTATAATCAGCAAGGCAAAGAAATTCTGATAAAGGGTCAGAATGTGTGAGTGGTAAAATCATAGATGAGGGATTCTGGGGGAGAATCTGCGTTCCAGGCACAATCTGCCTGCAGGGCAACTTTGCCCAGTAGCGTTGGGACTGGGGCTCACATATCTCCATCATGTCCTTACAAGGTCTCATGGGCTTGCATATCCCCCACAACACCCATCCTTACTTCTTCTGGAATGTGCAGTGCTCTGTAAATGGTATTCACCTACCGACACCCTGCTCTCACATCAAGGCTGGACATGCGCAGCCACACATCACAGATGGACTAGATCTTCCCCCTAATTGATTAATTCAGGGGGAAGGGTTCAATTTTAATCAACTAAGACAAATGCTTATCAGTGAGGCTGAGATTTAAGTGCACATTTGTTTATTTTTAAAGGTTATTTTTGGCGTGGGCATGTTAGTGTAATTAAGGGAATGGAAATAACAAAAGGTGACCTTTTTCTTCTAAAACCGAATGGTAAGTTGCAATTTAATAAACAAAAGCTTCCTAGCCCCCTTCCACGAGTACCTCAGATGGGAAACCTGTTTTGGTTACGTGCTAATGTATCTGAATTTCATCAGCACATTCATTGGCTTAGAGGCAGTGATCAACAGCAAACTTCCATCATTTGACAGCGCTCCTTAAAATTTGTGAAGCTTCTGTGCAGAAAGGATGAGGAGTTCCATCCAGACAAGTGTGCTTCAAAGTTTAACTTCTGCCCCCAAAGTGGTGGTTTCTAAAATGCATTCCAGTGACATCGTTAAAATTCCTTGGAAGGTTTCTTCAATGAGATTGGTAATGGCAGACATGATTCCCTGAAAGACACATTGCCAAGCACTACCAGTCTTCCCCTGCAGTGTGCAACCACTGGTGAGTATTAGGTGTGTTTTAGGATGGACCTCCAGTTCATGAGAAGCCAAACAATCTTGGCCTGAATGAAATGAGTGACTATCTTACAATACTCCCAAGAATGCTCTATGATACTCATATAAACTATCATATACTAAGTCAAACCATTGGTGCATCCAGTAAATTGTCCACAACCTGATGTTTTGGGTTACAGTGTCCATCATCCTTGACCACTGGCCATGCTGGCTTGGGGTGATAGAATTTGGAGTCCAAAATCTGGAGGGCACTGGATTGGGGCACACTGATCTAGCTCAATATCATTGACATTGACTGGCAGCAGCTCTTCAGGCAGGAATCTTTTCAAGTCCTACTTGGAGAAAGCAGAGGTTGAACCTGGGACCCTCTGCTTTTCATAAGAGCCAGTGTGGTGTAGTGGTTAAGAGCAATAGATTCGTAATCTGGGGAAGCGGGTTCGCGTCTCCGCTCCTCCACATGCAGCTGCTGGGTGACCTTGGGCCAGTCACACTTCTCTGAAGTCTCTCAGCCCCACTCACCTCACAGAGTGTTTGTTGTGGGGGAGGAAGGGAAAGGAGAATGTTAGCCACTTTGAGACTCCCTAGGGTAGTGATAAAGCGGGATATCAAATCCAAACTCTTCTTCTTCTTCAGATGCTCTATCACTGAACTTCACAAGCTGGTGTGGAATGGGAGTTGATGGACTCCAACTCCCATCATCCCTGACCATTGGTGGCTGGTGCTGATGGGAGATGGTTGAAAGTGTTTCTGTGTAAAATGGAGATTTCCCCAAACTGACCAGATTCAGATGAAAATCATTTTTCCTCCCACTTACAAGGTAGAGGCAAGAGGTTTACTGCTGTTGGCATCTTTAGAAACAGCATGTATTCTTCATAATTCTTGAGAAATTGGGCTGTATATTTCTTGCTAATAAAAAAAAAATAAGCTGATTACTTCTCCCTAGAATACCAAATGTGGAGTATTGTTTCGTAACCCTACATCATTTTTATCATGCTGTTATTGCTCTTTACATTCTGCCATAAACATCTCAGTAGGGCTGTTAGTTCTTTTAAAGCATTGCAGTTTTAAGTTTTAGATGCAACAATTAATAGTCTGGAGGTGTTGTTTCTCATATGTTTATGAAAACTGGTGTGCAGCATGTTTACATGTCAAGAGCACTCTTCTGTTATCCCCCCACCCTGCCCCAGACATAACCACTAGTCCTAGGTTCATATCCAATTCAAACTGAATCTATTTGAATAACTCATTAATTAAGAAGGCATCTATTAGATATCTGAAATTAACATGTTTTTCAATGAACCTCTTCAGTGGAAAGCCTCTAGCCCCTATGCAACCCCTGATGTAATTTCACAGAAATCTGAGAATGATTCTAGGCAATTTTAACCTAGTTAGGGCCATTCCTATCACCACATCCATTACTAGAAGCTTCCAGCCTTATTGCATTGATGGGCATCTTGGGGAGTATGAGACCACCCAGAAATCTCCCTATACTCAGCACTTAACCAAGATAGAATTGTCCATCCCATCCCGTCCGATTTATAACCTGCTTCAGGGGTGATTACTTTTTGGTCCAAGGATTCCATTCCCTTCTGGGCCACCTTCTGAGGGTCTCCTGCCAGTGATTTGGAGGGGCCAGAGGCAAAAGTAGATGGGGTGGTGAAAATAAAAATTACCTTTGTACTGTAGGCTAATTTCTGCACACACTCATACACCCTTCTCTGGTCTCCATTCAAAGAGAGGCATTAGAGTTCAAGGTCAAATGCATGGTGTGGCCACTTCAAGGGCCAGATAGAGAGGCTTGGAGGATTCCTACCATTGTAGGAAACCTGAGCCTGAGGATTCCTACCATTGACACTGAGAATGAGGAAGCCAGTAGGCTGCAGGGAAGTCTCCTGTGCCCCTCTAGGATGTGCAAGGCATCTGATCCTCATGGGTATTGTAGTTGATCATCAGGAGCATGCCAGGACCGATAAGTCTTTTGAACCTATCTGGAACAATTTTGGAGCCTGAGACCTTTACATGTGCTCAGAAAAGAAGCTGAACATCCCCGATGTTCAGCAGGTGAATCTGAATTCTGTTTGGATCTTTCTCACTTTTATGTGCTGCTGTAATTTTGAACCCCCACCCTGTGCCAACTAGTAAACTACAACCAAGAGTGCTTCATTTTCATCCAGCTGTTCCTTGGAAGCCTTCTCTAAGGACACTGATAGTTTGCCATGCTCTGTCCTTTTTGCAACTCTAATTTGTTTGTGGCTCTGTGAAGTTTAATTACGCCTTTTCATCCTGCTGCTGCTTTTGTTTCATTAGCCTGTGTATCATGAGCAATTTTAAATAGTTATGACTGCAGCATGAGAGCCTTTCTAGATATGTCTAAGTGCCTCTTTTAAGCCTTTCCATGCACTGCCAACGAACCGCGTATCCATATGAGCTTTCCTTGATATAGGTGGAGTTGGGCTTTGTGGGGGTGGCTGGATTCTGAGCTTGCCACCACCAGGGTGAAGGAGACCTCTCTGCAGCAATCCCACAAGGACTGCATTTCCAGAGTGTGGAAAGCAGAACATTTGTAATGACTGAACCAAAATGCATTTACTTATTTGTATTTTCTTTGTTGCTTTTCAATAGAATCATATGCAAAGCAATGCAGGGAGGGGGAAACAATAATACACAATGTGATAGAAACATAGGAAGGTGCCTTATACTGTGGGAAACCACTGAATGATATATATCAGCATTGTCTACATTGGCAGCAAATTTCCAGGGATTCAGGCAGGAAATAACCTGGAGATACCTACCTGGAGATAACCAGGGATTGGACCTGGGACTTTATACACGAAAGCAGATGCTCTACCACTGAGCTATGGTTCTTCCTCATGACAGGATCACATCATGAGATACATGATTCTAAATCTTATTGGGGAGAAGAGAAGTCAACCACACTCAAAGGGCAATTCTGTCCTAAGACAGTTTTTCATTTTGAAAGGCTTCACAACTTAGGTGCTACCACTGAAAAGGCACAGCTCAGGTTCATAGCTGATCTTTCTTCAACATCCAAAAGGTCACCAAACAAAGCTGTATTCATAAATTTTAATAGAAGAGAAAGAAACATATGAGAAGATCTGAGAAGGGGACCTTCTTCCTACGAACAATGTCAGTGTTAACAGTGCTAATTGTTTGCTTGGTGCTGTTTGTGTATATCGTAGCAGTTCCTAGCTATCGTTGGAATTGCAGGAGTTGCATTAAAAAGAAAAGGTTGCGTGCCTGATGTTCAAAACCTGCCTTGTGAAAAAGAACGATAGCATCCAGCTATTAAGATTTCCATCTGTTTTGTGGTGAGGTCTAGCCAGTTAACTTGGTACTTTCTGTACTGGAGATTTTGCAAAACTTTGAAACAGTTTGCCTTTGGTTTGCCACAACCCCTTCATCTTTCCAGTCCACCAACATCCCTGAACTGCTAGTAATCAAAGTAAATGCAGCATTTTACAGGCACAGACTGAGAAGTATTGCCAGCAGAGGGAGGCTGTGTACAAGGGCGGGCTCCTTTGAGAATGCTCTGCTGCTCTTTCCAACTTGGGTTTTATGTGTCTATAATATTCATATCCCACCTTTTACTATAGAGAGGGTTAAGGTGGCCAGAGAGCAGCAGATGAAACATAAAGTTTGTTTTTAAACTTGTTTGGGGGTTGTGAAACTGGTCTGACCTTACAATTTCTCTTTGCACTTAATGGAGGATTTTGGGCACTGAATATCCATAGAATCAATCAAGACATGTCATGCCACGGAGAGTTATGAGTGTAACACATTCATAGTGATATATGGGGCCAAACATGCTCCTGGCAAACACATCCAAAGGAACCAATCATGGAGAGCTGGTTGTAAATCAGGTTGTGATTTGGCCCTTGGACTACAGCCGCAAAGCCGGATATCTGTTATAAAATACATGCCAAGCTCTGCCGTAAATTTAAACAAAACCAGCATGAATTTTCCTTTAATCAGCGCATGCCACCTACGCCGATGGGGGCTAGCAGTCCTTGCAAGTCGGATGGATGGCCGTTGTCTGCAAAATCCGTAGCACGAGACAAATCGCCAGGGAGGGGACTATAAATGGTGTGCCTATATTAATGCACTCGTTTCAGAATGCAATTTAGATGCTAATTGATGCTAATTTGGCTCAGCACTGGTGCAAGTCAAGTTGCACCATTTCTGTAGATGCTGGAACGTTGCTAAGGGGATGATGATTGGAAGTTATGTGTAGCCTAATGAATCTGAGGCTCGGGAGCAATTCAGTTTATAATGCCATGTTTGTTGGCCTTCACTGATTATTATACTCGCTTGCTAATGAGCTCAAGGTATAATCAGCAAAGGACGTTAGCAAGCGCTCCTATGAGTAAAGGTCTTGCTGGCTTGAATGCCACTTTCTCGGTGGATCATGCCCATGGGTATGCATCAGACTGCTTAAGCCAGGGAGGTGGGTGGAGACCACCTCCAGGACCAAGATCTTGAAAGAAGGAAGATAATCCAAGATTCAGAAATGCCCTAAGCTGGTAGGGTGCAAAACCTACAGAGCACTAGTTGCAACACTCAACTGTATGACCAGGAATAAGGGGACAGTCAATGGCTGTACCAATGACCAGGACAGATGACTCAGATAACCCTTTGCCAATGATGACAGTATCAGTGTAGGAAGCAGGGACTCTCAGCACCAGGGACAGCTCCAAAGCAGGAGGCAAGCTGTTGCTTTTCTCTAGCTCAGCTCCAAAACAACTTTAGGGGATTTTTTTCTGTGGTGCAAGCCTGAAAAAGATAGCCCAAATTTCATCTACTAATGTGCTGAGTGGCATTGTACTTAACAGAGCAGCACTTTCCTTGGGGCCATCACTTAGCAGTTTCCCTACATTCTTCCTAATGCCTCAGGTGGGCATTAGCTGAATTTGAAGCACTCCTGAAATTGTGCTAATAGTGAGCTCCCAAGTCATTGTTTTGGGTGAAGCAATATGAGGCGGGTTTGGGGAAAGTTATCCTGGCAAGAGGGAATGCAAGGTAGAGTGGTGATTCTAAAGCAATGCTCTACTGCGCTGATTCCAAGATCTGCAGGTAAAAACAGGGAGCTTAAAGAAGGCAGGGCAACTGGCTGTTTGTTCATGTATGGAGTTCAAGATGAAGGTCATTTTCTTAACTAAGCTCACTACTGGAGTGCCACCATGGCCAAATAGACATAAGCCAGGGTTGGACAACCTGTGACCCTCCAGTCGTTGTTGGACTCCAACTCTCATCAGCCTCAGCTAGCACGGCCAATGGGAACTGGAGCACAACAGCATCTGCAGGATACTATGTTGGTTACTCCTGGTCAGCAGCCAGGAGAACTGCTATTGGAATTTAGACATGGGCCTGACAATGAAGCCCTCTTCACACATTACAGCTTACTACAGTTAAAGCAATGGTTTGGCCATTTGAATGCATCTGAATGGTCTTTGCTTTCCTTCATATTGCATAATATACAATTATGCTGAAAACACATGAGTCACAGCGAGACTGTTTTTTTTTTAATTTAAAAAAAGTGAAAGGAGTGTGTTTTGCACTGGGAATGGAAAGCTGTGAAAGTCATAGCAAGGTTCAGCTCTTAGTGATGACAGCCTACAGTTTTATGGTCTGTTTTGGTCCCTCCCCATCCAGATTTAATAGGAATATAGAATAAAAATAAATGTAAAGTTCATAAGCTTGCTGATATGAGTATTGGCACAAGGTTGTGAACTTCACATCTATTTACGTGCATGAACTATTTTGTGGCAAACATCAAAACACATTTGTAAGTTGCAATCTGTTCATAGATAAAGAGAAAGAGGGAGAGGGAGAGAGAGAGAGAGAATAGGATAATTTACTTACCATAAGCAAGTTGGTCAATATCATTTTTAACAAGGTTCACTGTATGGGTGCTGTGCTGGTGCTTGATATATGTTAATATAATCTGCATAGTCAGTAACACAGCAGGGTCAACTTGTTCTGGGCTTGGTGCCAAAGTGTTGCCCTCGGTTACCACCACAGAAGTGTGTGTGCCGAAGCATTATAAGAAGACTGGGAAGAAAAAGGCCACGGCTGGTGTCATCTTGGGGAAAGGAGTATAAAATACTACCAGATTGATTGCTGGCTCATGTGCAGATGTAGTGGCAAAGAAATGGCTGTCAGGTCAGAGACTTGCAGAGGGAAAGGTAGGATGTCTGTAGCTGGAAAGGCAAAGCTAGACCAGACATATGAACCTACTGTGCATCAAAGTAAAGGAAGAACCCAAGTAGATTAGCTATTATCATCATAAGGACATTGACCTATGGACTCTACTGTTTATCATCAGCACAGCACATTTTATGTTGGAATTGTACTACAGCTTTTTATGGTGCTGTGGAATGGACCCCTGTTGCTCTCAATTCCCAGGTGGAGCACCGAGGCAAAGAGCAACTTGCCTAATGGGCACTATGGCAGAGGTGAAATATGAACCCAGCAGTCCCAGGTTTCAATCCAGTTCTGCATGACTGCACTTGTTCTCACACTAAGATGATTTCTTCAAAGGCAAAAATAATGTGTGAGACAAGTTTGCTCTCAAAAGTGACCCATGTCCTCTCCATGGATTCACTAGCCCTAAATGCAAGTCTCTGGAATTGCCGTTCACCCACAAAAGTGGTCTTCCTTCCTGTTCCCTTTCCTGCACATTCCTGCCAAAATGACTACATCCCCGCCAACCTTTCTAAGTTCAGATGGCCATACCAGCTTCTCCTCCTGTGACCCATGGAACAGAGTAAGGAAATAAATCCCATTCTACTCAGCCAATCTGAGAATGGAACAACAACAAGGGTCCTCATGAAAATTCATCAGCATTTTAGTATGGCTCTCTATAATATGCAAAATTTTTCGTATGTCATTTTGCCTAATATACTCACTTTTGAAAACCAGTTTCCCCTGACATTTTGTATGCTGTTTTCACTAATTTTGGGGTGTATTACTTAGCTAGGGAATTCCATTGCACAATTCAGAGAAGTGCGAATTTCAAAGGACGGCTATGTTTCAGATAATACATTGTTTTAGAAAGTGTGATTTCAGTAGATTCACCTTTAAATGTGAACTGTATCAAATTTCTTCCCCTTTCCTATGCATGGCTATAAATTTTTTTCACATATCTCCACACTGGGGGGGTGGGGTGGGGGCAGCTATAATTAAGCCTCTGAGATGCATCTGAGATAAGAGTTTGTTTTTAAAAGAACGAAGGTTTCATAAGTAACCCTTTGAAAGGTTAGTTTCTAAAAAAAACTATAATGCAACATGAAATTAAGAATAATAATCACCTTCTCTGCCTCCCCACCACCTGTCATATTTCAGAGGGGGGGGGGTGTTGCTAAGATGGTACAATGAATGAGCCAAGGAGGTGTTTTTCTCCCACCTGAAAGCCCAAGCTAATAGCAGATAATAAGAATTGTGTGTGTCTCTTATTGTTAGCACTCACTGTAAAAAGCCACTCCATTTGCCCTCCAATCATTCCTTTATTCATTTCTGGGAGAAAATAGGTCCTATTGAAACATGTCGGATTGTGCCATTAATTATGTTACACATGCAATGTAACAGAGGAAATCTCTGCAAAAGATAATGGGTGGATACTTTTCCTCTCTAGATCTTCATAAGTAAATGTGGTGCCTGATCGTTACATATTTGTGTAGAAAGGGGCTAAGACCCTTCTTAGATTATATTTTTGTTTTGGTTTATTATGTGTTCTTTCAACTGGGATCAGAGTAATCCGTTCTCTAAATGTTTCTTTTTGACTTCATACACTCTGGTCCTGTGAGTAGGCACAATGTTGTAAAAGTGCCTCGTGGTGACTGAGCCTTTCC